TTTTTCGTTTAAATTTATCACATGAACCGTTTTTAATACATGATTCAGCAGATCCATATCGTATTATAGCATTCGCATCAAAAACTTCATTAAATCATCTTGGTATGTATATATATAGATAAAGATAATCGATAAAATATATGAGCAAAAGGGAGACACCACAAAAGATGATTTCAATAAAAAAAATTTGATACTTTTATATATAATAAAAATACTTTGGATGGTAGATGTTTTAGCATTTCGTTTTCTTTGTTTTGATCTTATAAGGACTATATTTACATATATATCTTATTAAATATTTACATAATAGTTTTCGAAAAAAATAGTACGACATAAAATTCTTTTTTTCTATATTGAAAAAAACTGTAAGCAATAAGCATCGATATGTTTATTAAATATCTGTCATATTTAAATTAAATTTTTTAGCTTTGTGTTCAGCTATCCATTCTGATGGAACATTCTACACAGCACCACGATATTTTAAACAGGCGTATACTATTCACGGTTGGTGTGCTGATACAGGTAAACAAAACTAAGTTGACAGAGAAAGAAACAATTAATCCAACCATTGACAGTACTTCTATATCTCAAATGACTAATAAGAATAAAGATTATTAAATATCCAGTTCAATAAATAATTTAACAATGTCCAAAAACTATAATTAATTTATATTGCTATTCTGAGGATTCAGCTTTTTTTCATCTGTTCATGCTGAGTGTAGAAATTTCTAGAAGCTCGAAGAATCAACCTCAATTATGATGAGAGATGTAAAGTCAACAAAACTTCGAGATGGTTTTGTTGTTGGAAGTTCTTAATCAATGTTAAGAAAAAAAAATGAATAAAACACATTATTGAAAAATTGAATAAAGATGAAAGTTCCGAACAAAAAAAATTGATTATCGTTTTGGGACATAATTTCGTCTTTTATTTAAACTGAGATATTAACAATTTCTTTTTTTCATTGTCTATAAAAATTTATTTTACCTATATATATTTTTTTATTGAATATTTTTTTCTCTTAACGTAATCAAAGGAAGTGTTTTATCTTCTAAGAAATAAAGGATTTTCTATTATGCAATATTGAATTGCCTGATGAATCAAAGTTATAAAGTCAAATATAATTAGCAAAAGATGCTGAATGAATATTATATAACATGAAATGATAGATCATGTTTGGTGTGGAATATTTGTATTCGTAGATGTTTCTGTGAAGTAGATTGCTTGCTGAAAAAAATTCATTTTATGTTGTAATACTTCGGACACTAAATTACTTTAGAATTAATAATCTATTACATGTTTTACTTTAGGTATGAAATGTATTTGTTATGCAGCAACAGTTAAACGATCGAAGAATACATATATCACATTGTTTCGAGCTTTAAAGGAAGCAACTGAAAATATAGGAATAAATTTATCTCCATCATATCATATGATAGATTTCGAAATTGCTGCTGCAAGTGCTTCAAAAAATGTTTTCAAAAATACGAGAATAACATTTTGCCATTTTCATTTTGCTCAAGCTATTTGGAGAAAATTGAAAAAACAAAGTTGGTTGATAATTTGTATTTTTACATTCTAAAAATTATTAACATAAATATTGTCATGTATTAAGATTTGGTATCGGAAGTACGTGAAAAAAATGTTGAAAAAATTATTGCTGATATAATTGCTCTACCGATGGTTCCGAAACATCTTGTACATCAACGGTTCGAGTTAATCAGTCAACAATTGCGTTCAATAAATTCATTATTCGATTCTTTTTTAATGTATTTTCGACGAACGTATATTAATAGTTCACGTTTTCCAATAATTTCTTGGAACCATTTCGATTATCTCGGTATCCGACCACGTACTAATAATCATGTCGAAGGATCACATCGTCATATGAAGAGGCAAAAATCTAGACTTATCTTTGTCATTTCGTGTTATTTTTGCTTTTCTCTTTCTTTCATAATGCTTTATTTTGTGCTATCAAATTAAAAGTTTCTGTTTAATAGTAGTGTTTTTTAATTTGTTTTCAGTCATTTTGCAACTAAACCTAATATATGGTTATGGATTATGTCGATAAAAGATTTTGATGAAACAACTACCATAGCGATCGAACAAGAAGAACATCAACAGCGTCAAACACGGCCACGGCATCGAAAAAACATTCAACGTGATCAAGATTTATTTAATCTTAAACAAAAACTTGAAAAACAGTGCATTGATATAGAAGAATATTGTGTTCAATTGCGACATTTTTCTTATACATATATGAAACAATTAGATGAATAAATATATAAAATTGAATGTCAAGAAAAATATAAAAATTATATAACTTTTCTATTTTACAAGTCGTAAAATTACAGCTTGATTTTAAAAAATTCAGATTTAATTTGATTTTTAAAAGAATTGTTTCTTTTCTTAATTAAACTTGACATGAAATTTTTGCTACTCATAAGCTAAGCTGATCGACACAGAACGTGTTAATATGTATATATTCTAAAAGCCACTTTATATCACTCATCAAATCTTTCGATTTATCCTAATTAGCTATCTAAAATGAATTTAAATACTTATTATCCTAGGCGCCATCTCAAACATTTATCAATACTTCTCATTGTTGAAACATAATCATAAAAATCAAATAGATAAAGTTTATCAGCAAACTTGGTTTAATAAAAAATTGTAAGAAAACATGTTATTTCTTTTTATTATGAATATTAGTTAATTTTTTAACAGATGGATAACGCTGAGTATTTCAGAAGAATGAAACGTTGTTCAGTTGAACAAATGGATTTAAAAATTTTATTAGATGAATTCACGTATTTAATTATTAATGATATTCATAACAGTTCCAATTTACCATTGTCATATGTTTTTCTCAGTATGATTGTTGCATTATGTCACTGGACATATGATAGTTACCTTAAAGGTGTTAACTATTACAATATTCCTTTAATTCTTTTTGGAATATTATGTGGTGGAAGTGGTATGTATTCTTATTTCTTGAATAGATAAACAATCTAATCATATCATTTGATCTAAATCTGATCTACAAAACTTTTTATCGTAAAAAAAAAATGATAGAAACTAATTATAAAGAGCTGATTTTCTTTTTGTTTCTTTTTTATTGTCTATAAACAATTTGTTTCTAATTGTAATTATTTTAAAACTATGTAACAAACAAAAACCTTATATGACTTAGGTTCTAAGAAGAGTGCTCCGATACGAATAGTTAAGGAAGCATGTGAACAAGTTGAAGCCTTCATAGGAATCCCATTAGCTAAATCTTCACTTAACAACTCGGCAACTATGGAATCTGTTTGTATGGAATTACAAAACAAATCTCATTTATTACAAGTACCATTTTTTTAATTAAAATAATTCATTTCATTAAAATAATTCAACGTCTTAGTTATGGGATGAGCTAGCAATATTTTTGGGTTTATTTGGAAGCACTCGTTCCGATCGAGCTTGTTATGATCGTGGAATTATGTGTGAACTATATAATCCGACAGGAGTTGTTCGTCGTCAATTAGTGTCGAGAACAAATATAATGGTGAAACCACGTTTATGCATTTTAGCAGCTGGACATCCACGTGAAACCATTAATTGTTTAACTGGTACGTTCAATTTATAGATATTTTTTTTTTTAAATTAAAACTGTATTAATGTGCTCATTGTACAGATGAAAATCGATTCGAGATTTTCCTATTTAAACAAATACAATTGTTTAAAAAGAAAATCATTTATTAGGATCCAGTTTGAAAACAGCCGAAATAAATGATGATGGTCTTTTCAACCGTTTTTTAATATCAGTTGGTTACAAGCAAAAACCACATCGAGATTGTCCACCACCAGATAATAAGATACCAAAATTAGCACATCTATTTTTTTATACACATCAACTACACAAACAAACACGAGAATATTCATTTAATGAAGAAGGTTTTTCATTTCTCACTAACATTATTTTTGTGCTCATTTTTCTTATAATTCAGCATATGCTTTTATGAAAGAAACAATTTATGTCTATGATTGTGAGTCTGTTAGTTTCAGCAACGAGGACGATTATTTAGCTAGGTAATTTAGGTCATGACACAAATGCCATTTATTAACATTTTTAGTTTAGTAATTTAACAAAAGCAATCGAACATGTACAACGACTAGCACTTGTGTTACATATACTCAAGATAGTTTCTAGAAAACTTTTTAATTTAATCAATCAAATAGGAACATTTGGATCATTAGACGATTTTTTTAAAAATTTGGTATTAGCTGATTCTTTAAACGATGATGAATTGATTATTAATTATGAAACTTGTTTCAATGCGAAAAAAATGATGGACTATTTCCTATCTGTAAAGAAAATATTAGCTGGGTATGATCCAATTAGAAATAAAATAATAACAGGTAAAAATGGTAGAATTAATCGCACCGAATAGGAGGCAGAAAAAAATTTCGTATTTATTCTATCATGTAAACGTTTATATACGTAGAAAGAAATTCAAGAATTAGTTTTTCTTGAAGAAAATTTAAAGCCCCTCAAAAATCGATCCCAGCCGAGAAATGGTCAAATGGTATGAAATTTTTAAGATATGTTAGGGCTGTAGTGGGTAATATATGATAAAATTTTCAGCCCGATATCATGACGTTCGAGGGAGATATTGATCAAACAAGAATCAACAATAGTTCATTTGGCAAACCAAATTTCTCAGTACAAGTTTTTTTTAGAGACTTAATTTTTTTTGTTTGAAAGAATGTCAGGATACGGTGCAGTATAGAGCCCTTTTTCTTTAAATGCTTACTTTCCAAAGAAAGAAAAGGGATCGAAAATTCAATGACTCAAAAAATGCTTAAAAATGGGTGTCGAGTTATATAAGTGTCTGTATATATAATAAAAAAAGCTTAATTTAAAAAAAGTGCACCATACTGCACTGCGTCTTGACGTGCTCCTTCAAACAAAAAAAAATAAAAATAAATACACTGAATGTGTATCGACAGAGAAATTTGAATTGCGTGCTCAAGAAACTATAAATGGAGAAAAAACGAAAAAAAGTTTTTGTTTTTTTGAAAACAGCTAATTTTTCCAATACGGGATGACAGAAATCTTCAAAGATTTTTGGAAATGAGAAGGTGCTAAATAAAAATTTTTGTTGTTTATGAAAGACCAAATCACTGGCTATCTTCTTATACGTTTATTTTAAATTTAATTATTCTGGTGAAAAGTGAGTTTTTTGAAGGGAATGGAACATTAACAAATCTTCCTTTATAACCAAGTCACCAGATTATTAATTAATTTTTTTTAAATTTCACGTACAGATAAAAATCTTATAAGAACAGTTTTTCTTTCATAGATGTAGATGTTGATGGAATACCTCAAAGTGATATTGATCACATTAAATCTTATATCAAAAATCATCCTAGCGAACGAATATTGTTGTCGACGTTGCCTTCAAATTTAAAACGAAAGTATACAAAAGAACAATACCTTCCAATATTGCGACAACTTGAAGCAGATGGTCATGGCATTGTTACCACCACAGAAAATACAACCGGACCAAAAGCTATTTGCTTTGCTAAAAAACCTCGAATCGAACAACCTTCAGAATCTCAAAATTTAATTACGAGTAGTAGATCATAAAAAATTTAACTTTGTTGAATGACGCTTGAGATTTTTTTCTTCAAATCATCAATTAGTTTATTTGTTGTTGCCGTGTGAATTGCCATCTAATTAATTTCGGAAAAATCTTTAAAATATTTCTCTGACTTCCAGATTTTTAAACCAAAATCACTTAAAACAATAATCTAATCTTCAAAGTTTTTCAAGTAAATAATAAGATGAGCTATTGTTCGCCTACTATGGCTACAATGAATTGGTTACTCAATGCGATATCCGATCAATCGTCTACGTGAGATTAAATTTTGAATAACTGTGTAATTTTTTTAAAATTTAGAACACAGAATCAAAATTCATCATTAATAACATCAGTTATAGTTGAAACAAATGAAGCAACATTAGGAACTAATGTTTCAACTGATATCAGTGCCATCGATGAACCATTTACGTGAGGTTACATTTAGAATGACTATGTTATCAATTTCTGTTTTCTAGACCACATGGTCAATCTTCATCATCAACATCATCAGTTATAATTGAACCAAATGGAGCATCATCAGAAATTGAAATTTTAACTAATACCAACATCGATAGTGAGTATTTTCTCAAAAAAACCCAATAACTTAAATAAAACCTAATTAATCAATTTAAATACTTGTTTATGCCTTGAAAATGAAAAAAAAATTTCAATTCAATTTTACCCTTATAACTATATTCCATTCGAGATTAATAAATTCAGCTACACTGGGAATTTGATGAAAAAACAAATAAAAACTTTTAAAAAATTGCGTGTATAACACATATTTTATCTACTTAAATGCAAAAAAATAACAATATTACAACACTCAAAGATGACTACATTTTTTTTTAATTTTCAATTTACTATTGTCACACATTTATTTCACGTGAGAATATGTTTCAAAGTTTTGATTGAAATTAAAACGAAAATTTTTTCCCTAATCTCCCACCTGCTCTGTCAATTTATTAAAGAACAATTGCCGTAGAGAAGTCGTGCGGTTAGTGAAAATAAAAGATCAAGAAGTCAGAGCACTGTGAAAAAAATGTATTTTGTTACTGATACCTTTCTTTTACAGTTTTACTAGATTTTTTATATAATAGCAAATTTTTGGTTTGGATGAACAACAATGGGATTGGAAAACAATTTTTGAGAACTTTCTTGACGCAAAAAGTTGTTCAATAAGATGAATAATGTTTAAGCAATTTTTGTTGAAAAATTGGTGTTCGATATACAATACGAAGTTTTCTATTAAATTTTAGCTCAAGAAGAAGGTGTTAATACTGCTGAATCAACATTGATTAGTATAAACCATATTGATTTTGATTTAATCATCAAGTAATATCCTAAAATTCATGATGATTTAGGAAAAAAAACTACATTATTGAATATTTATAGATGGAAGATCCGTGGTATTGTTATTTACAAATATGATGTTCGTCGTTTTAATAATGATCGTGGAGAAGGTGAAATATTTTCTTTCGACATACAAGATAATACAGGTGAAATAACTGTCACCTCATTTAATTTATCAGCTCAAGCACTTCGTCATCGTATTAATATAAATAAAGTAAATTCAAGATAAGGAAATTTTTTTTTTTGGTTAAAAATATTATTCATCCATGTTTCATGTATCTAACATTAAGAATAAATTTATATACTAAATTAATCTTAATTTAGACATATGAAATTAGTGGATTATCTATTCGTACTGCAAATGCAAACTATAAAACACTTCCAAATAACCTTCAATTAATTAGCACAACTCAAACAATTGTTAATGAAATAACGGCAACGGCTATTGCTCCTTTGCCATACAATTTGCTCAATCTTAAAGATTTTGATAGAACGGATATCAATAGTGTAGTTGGTAAGGCAATACTAGATTTGATTGAAAAGAAGATCGTTTTTTTTTCTAAGAAAAAATTCTTTTGAAAGTATTAAAAACGTTTGATTATCAAATATTTATCTAGCAAAATTATATTTCTGTTAGTTAAAGATAGAAAAGTAGTTGCAATAAAAATTAATATAGAAAATCAAAAATAAACTACTAAAATTAATTAGTTGGTTTAAATAAAAAATTTGTTATTAAAAATACTTTTTTATCTCGAAGATATACGATGTACAGTTATACGTGATTATGGTATGTGTACTGGAGTTTCAAACGATCGTACATGGATTAAAAGAGAACTTCATCTACTCGAAGGAAGTCATCAATGTCGATTAACGTTATGGAATAAACAAGTATGTGATCGACTTACAAAAGAAGTTATACAGATTCAGAAAAACCTTTTTCTTTTCGTTTGTTTACAACATTTCTTTATTTATCAATCTTATTTTACCCGACTTTAAAAATGAACACTTTATTAATTATAGGCTAAAATTAACAATGATTCACTTGTTCGAAGAACAATTAAATGCAAATATTTAAAGGTGAAATGGTACAATGGTAAGACTAACAAATAGATTATTGTGGTTTTGTACAGATATCAAAGAATAAGATTTGAATTAAATTTTTATTGACACCTATATCTCATTGAAATAGAATATCTTTATTCAAAATTATCTTATTTAATATTATAAAATTTGAAAAATTCTCCTATTTACTTAATAAATAGGTATTTAATCAATATAAAAAAATTGTTATATTTTTAGGAAGCAAAATTTTATCATCAATGGAAAATTCAATAATCTCTATTGAATAAATTAATCAGAAAAAGAACAATTATGAAATATTATTGATAAATTATATACATTAGACTATGAAGTATTCATTTATTAAGTCTTTGACAATCAACAGATTCAGTTTTTCTTTTCGTTGTAAAAGATTTTTTGTTGTCAAATAAAATAAATCAATAGAAGTGTTATTTGATGTTCCTTAGTTACGATCATCATAATAAAATTTGATTTTATTAAGACTGGATCATATTTTATCGATGATAATCTGTTGAGCTCGTTAAATGTCAAATATTCAAAAATTAATTCAAAATATTTTGCCAACTAAAAAGATTTTTTATCGATTACAAGATCTTCTGGATTCCATGCCAATATCCTGGAACAAAGCAGAAGTGTTATTATCTATAGAAAAGTCGAATCACAGTAGAGAATACATCAGCGTTACTCTGGATGAATTAGAATTATTATACGTGATGTATCCAAAAATAAATCGATCATTTTATGAATCTATATCAGAAACAAGTATTATAAAAACTTATATTGATTTTGAATATGTATTGGAAAATAATGATTCTATGGATCATAACAGAGCTATAATTACTTGTTTAAAAATATTATTTTACAGTCTAAATGAATTATCAAAATCGACTATTAATAGTAAAATAACTTTGCTATCAATATTAGAGCAATTCTTAGTTTTAAATGCGTATGTAAATTATTTTGAAATTTAATACCTTGCTTAACGCTAAGATGATCTGCACTTATCGTTGTGTCCTATACATAATATCACAATAGTAACAGAAAAAAAAATTAAAAAAAAATCATCTGCGTACTGAATCTCATATTCTTCGTGAAATTTATTTGTATATTAAAATTATTTATGAAATCTAAAGATAGAAAATATATCTATAATTATTTTCATGATTTGTTATATAATAGTATCTTTAAAATAATTTTGCTTGATTATTTATTTAGTTCAACTTCATCAAAAAAGTCTTATCACTTCATTCACGCTAACCCAACCGTATTATTTGAAAACACAGGGACATTGGGAATTTTTGTAAAAACAATATTTCATTCACTTTTATTAGACGTGGCCAAACATACATGCCTATCTGATGATATATCTATTGATCCGAATCGTGATTCTATACGGGACCTGATATCATTATTATCACCACATATTAATCATCTTCGTGTTAATTGTTCTCAATGCTTCATATTAAATGATGAAATTAGTATCGCCGATGTTGCTTATCTTATAGTCTGCAATAAAAAAAAAGAGTGGTCTCTCTGCGTTGATTTGAATGTCTATTCAAAAAATCAACAATTTCGTTTGTATGACTCCTCAAAAAGTGGTTTGAATAATCCTTTAACAACTACATTAGATTATCCATTTGAACAATCAAAATCCTATTCTTATTTTGACATATTACATAAATCTCTTATAACAAATATAAACAACATAAATGTTCCATTACTTAAGTTAAAAAATAATCATTTATTTACTACGCAACCACTTCCGTTAAATCATGAATTAAACTGTAATGATATGAAAAGTTTATGTAATTCTCTACAAGAAGATTGTTCGAGAATCTTTCAATATCGAGGTTCAAATTTAATTTCCTTTTACAAAAAAGAAAAGAAAATCTTATCAAAACATCAGACACAACAAACTCCACGATTATTTGATACTGTCTTCGATAATTATATTCCGTTTATTAATTCAATAATTACTCAAGGCGAGAAATATATTGGAAGAATTCAATCCTATGCACAAGGAAGTCGAAACACAAATAAACTATTTTTTAACATCGCGGGTGAATATCGTTTTTGTCCAAAGAAAGGAACACATCACAAACGAAATAGTACAGCTATTATAGTCGATATTTCAAATGACACTTATGCTATTCGATGCAAAGATCCAGAATGTGACAATACGTTTCTGACATGGCATCATATATATAAAATATAAAAAATATTTCTTGCCATGATTCTCTTAATGGGTACATACTAAACAAAATTGTATATAAAATAAAATTCAGTATCATCACAATCTCGAAAAACAAATTAAAACTTATAGTGTCCCTTGAGTCATTCTTTAATCTCATATATCTACATATTGTTCGATATTCTTATTACTCTTAATACTATTTCCAGTATACTTATTAAAAAAAAGGTAAAACATCAACAATGATTATGATAAAAATCTTGAAAACGGCGCGTATATAAATTTATTTCAACTTTCAAACTTTTCTAAATTTTTTTTCTGTATACAATTGTTGACATCTTAATTAAACCATTGGATCTATCTTTACTCATTTATGTAAGTTATATGATTGTTTATTTTCATCAGATTCATGATCACATTGTCCAAATAGAATATTTTATCATAATTTTTGAGAAAAAAACGATCGTAGAATCGAAATAGTAGTTTCATCAAGATAAAAACATTATGAGTCAACTCAGGACAATTTTTCGTCGTTATTTTTTGTCATTTTAATAAACAATGAATTTTTGAAAAATTAGTTGACCCATACACATATACAAAAAATCTTTGTCAACTATCAAATAAACTTTAATGAAAAATTCTAACGTCAGATAAGAAAAGTGAACTATAGAGCAGTAAATAAAAGATTGAATTAAATAGTTACATGGTTACCAACTATACGATAAGTTTTTCTATAATTATCTCAAAGTTGGTAAAGAAAAACGAACCGTAGAGCAGTAACTTCAATTTTGATAAAAGAAATATTACTAAGGTTAGAATAGAAATTTGTCTAAATATCCTAACTTTGGAGATGAAAACAAACTACGGACGAATAAAATAGAATTCTAATTTCAATAGTAACATTTATACTAACTATAGAATAGTGTTTGTTTAATTATTTTATAGTTGGTGATGTGAAATAAACTATAGAGCTATGATTTTAGTTTAAACCAAAATTAAATTTTACAAACATTAGAAAAATAATTTGCCTTAATATTCTAACTTTGGAGTAGAAAACGAACTATGGAGGAGTAAAATAAAATTCTAATTTCAATAATAACACGATTACCAACTATAAAATAATTTCTGCTTTATTATTTTAAAGTTGGTAGTGCAAAAAAACTATGGAGCAGTAACTTAAATTTTCACAAAAAAAATAATTTAGAAAACTTAGATGATAATTTGCTTGAATATCCTAACTTTAGAGTAGAAAATGAACTATGGAGGAGTAAAATAAAATTTTAATTCCAATAATAATATGATTACCAACTATAAAATAATTTTTGCTTTATTATTTTAAAGTTGGTAGTGTAAAAAAACTATAGAGTAGTAACTTAAGTTTTCACAAAAAAACAATTTAGAAAACTTAGATGATAATCTGCCTGAATATCGTAACTTTGGAATAGAAAATGAACTATGGAGGAGTAAAATAAAATTCTAATTTCAATAATAACATGATTACCAACTATAAAATAATTTCTGCTTTATTATTTTAAAGTTGGTAGTGCAAAAAAACTATAGAGCAGTAACTTCAATTTTGCACAAAAAAATAATTTAGAAAACTTAGATGATAATTTGCTTGAATATCCTAACTTTAGAGTAGAAAATGAACTATGGAGGAGTAAAATAAAATTCTAATTCCAATAATAACATGATTGCCAACTATAAAATAATTTTTGCTTTATTATTTTAAAGTTCGTAGTGCAAAAAGACTATAGAGCAGTAACTTGAATTTTCAAAAAAAAAAATAATTTAGAAAATTTAGATGATGATCTGCCTGAATATCCGAACTTTGGAATAGGAAATAAACTATGGAGACATGAGTAAAAAACAAATATCGTAACTTCTAAATTTTTATCATTTTTTTATGATCATGAATTTGTTAAAATAATAATCATATACTTTTTTCATAAACAATTTCTCTTGCATAAATAAAGATGACTAATTTAAAACAATATATATAATTTCAAAAAATTGTTTATTTTCTTTCTTAAAGTAACATAAACGAAAAAGTATCTGAAATGAGACTGAGCCTGTTTAAAATCTCGATGAGAAATGTAAACATATGTCACGACAAATTATGAATGTACTTCTTTTTCTTTTACAATCATATCTTACTAGTTTTTCATCTAAGAATATTTTTATTTGATAATCTCTAATTTCATATTAACTATTTTTATTGTTCGATTACACTCAATCATTCTGATCGTTTATTCTATAGAATGGAGACTACTTGTTGTTGTATCAATAATAGAT